ACACGAGATAATTGTGAATTTATAGATAAAAATATTATGTACAGTTGCTCCAGTACTTTTGTCTTTCCTACATAGCTCTGTTTGTAGTTAAAATTAAATAAAAGGTCAACATATCTATTATAACAGATTTAATTTGTTATCAGGTAGAAAGAAGTGTATTATTTGGCACGCTTGTAGTTCACATCATTGTATATTACATGAGAGTTGTTAGCTTGCCAGCAGCTGCCTGTCAATCACAAGTGATAACTTTGGGTTTTCTCTCCCTGTCCCCTCACGTGTGAAGTAATGTTATTTATCAGGTTTGAATGGTGAGGATAAAACTCTTTGTTTATACACTGGGCCATAGAGTGCGTGGGTCAAGATTATGCCTCAGATTATCTCACTGAGATTAGATTAGAACCAGCTGCTCGGGGGTTACGCATGTACCGTCTCTGAATTGTGTGTGTGTCAGTATAAACGCATTATCTGCTGTGCGAACGTTGTTGAAGTCTATTGTGGTCGTGTGACGTATTCCCAACACTGGACTCTGAAAATACTCAATACTGTGACTTGTGGCCATTTGATGCTCCTCTTTTTGTCCCCCTTTCTTTATCTTTTAAAATGCTCAAGGCTTTGCAGGTTTGTATATCATGTAGTATTGTAGACATGTTTTAATGGGTGGTTGGTGGATGCTCTGGTGTGGTTTGCTTCTTCTTTCCTATCAAACATCTATCGTTCTTATCTCCCCTCATTCTTTTTTATGTTTGTTACTCTCTTGTAACACCTCTAATCTTCTGGCGCTCATGACATATGACCTTATGCAGTTGCGAGCGCTGTAAAACCTCTACTTATACAATAAAGACATGTTTTGCAACTTTTCAAATGTCCCTTTCTCTTAACATATATAAAAGTAAATAGACTAATCGACAAACGAAGTGACATGTCCAAAAGTGGACATGTTTTGTACCAGCTCGGGCCTTGACAACACTCGCCTCGAGTTCAATAGAGATCTTTTTTTCTGTCGACATAGCAGATGTGATTATTATTTGTTTTGGAAAAGCAGACATCTACTAGCTTGTGAAGGGTTTTAACAGTTGTCACAAAAAAGAGTTCAATTCTGTATGCATGGGTGTGTCTCAATACTGCATATCTGTATGCACTTTGTGTTATTTTCTGCAGCTGGAGCCTTTTGTAAGTCAATATAATATGTGAGGCATCGTGATGAAATCAGTAATCAGGCACTCGTCAAAATAGTGAAAGTCAAGTAACTGGCGTTTTTACCCAGGTTTTGGGAATTTTTATCAAATATTTGTTTTTTTGGCTCAACACCTACCAAGCCCTTGACTTTATAGAACACATTTCTGTGTGAATTGTAGTGAAAAACTTTGGTTAAAATAATTTTTAAAATGTACATTTTCAGCTTCCATGGACTCTCAAGCTAAGGAAATATCTAAACTTTGGTGTCCTTTTTTATCGCTAATTTTACCCCTGAAACCCAGCGACCCCCTCCTCCTTCAATCACCAATATCTTGACTTGTATCCAAGTTAAATGGATATTTTTTCATCGAAAGCGAGGGAAATTGACAGACTTTAAGTTGATTCAAATATCTCCATATATGCCTCACAATTGACGAGCGCCTGATTCCACCAGGTGGTGACACAATAATGTGACAGAATGTGACTTTTTTTGGTAAAGGATTCCTCAATCACGGTTACATTTACAAAGGCGTTGATGGATGAGTGGTGGGAAAAAGTGGAAATTCGCCCATCAAGCCCCCCCCCCCAAAAAAAAAGAACCACATATAGCACGTCCAGTCCTAGTCTTCAGTGGACAGTTAGATGTGAAAACGCTTTTCATCACCCTTATAATCTTTGTTCTGTGTGAGGCGCAGTATGGCCAAATATCTGGTTGTCTGATGCAAGCTGTGTTGATTGTTGCAAAAATTTCCCTTTGTTGAGCTTAACCTGTCGCACGTTTTGCAGATCAAAGCGTGCGGTTTAAGGAAATGATCATGTCTTTGTACATCACAGTTATTTAGTAAAAAACACCTGTCAGATGACAAAGGTGTGCATTTGAGAGGAGGTGCTTGTGTATGCATTTAAGCCTAGACTGCTGTCGGTCATTATTTCAGGTTTTTTTTGTGTTTTTTTGGTTTTCTTTTTTTGAGGAAGAGTTCAGACAAACACAGACTAGTTTCAATAAATAATAATTGCCATTGTATAGTGCATATTCACGCTTTACAGCATGCTCTGTGTGCGTTACATCTAGCAGACCCAATAACACTCAGACACAATCTCAGCTTCCCTGGAAGTATACAGTGCAAGTTGTAGATTGCACACATGCAAACACTAACAAACTGATGAGATCTTTCACTGTTTATAGCCGCGTACCTATTCGCCCAGGGTGAGCTGAGGAAATTTCGTGAAAAGTCCCTTTCTCAAAGATACAATGTCAGGCTTCTGGCGGGATTTGAACCCACGACCTTAAAGTTGAGAGGTCGGGAGCTTAACCATTAGGCCACTGACGCCACAACAAGAACTTTGACTGGTTCCATCTTCCTCACCTGTCATCATCATGGCCATGTATGCTTGTCGGTGCCCCACTCTTTGCCACAAAGAGGCCTCCATCTTCCTTGTTCTCTGCTTTGATGTATTATTTGATGAAACTGTTGACCACTGTCTGGTTCTACGTTTTCAATGTTTTATGTGTCTTTAGGCCATTCCCAAAGGGGGGACATTAACATGTTCTTATGCACAGTAGAATTGTAAATGGTCTGATTCATCAATGTCATGCCCATAGCTGTGTCTGAACTGCAACAGGGAACTGCTGCTTTTTCTTTCCTAATCATCGTCATTTTCCCTCTACTTCTTTTGTATTTTTGTCCCACTCTTGTGATTCTCTATTTCCGGGGTGCCTTGATAGTTAAAGCAGACTTTGTGCTGTTGAAGCTAGAGAGGTGAGCAGAGCAAGCGTGATTCCCTGTAAAGACTTTTCTGTTGACATCCACCCGTTGGCGCTCATATGACTTTATGCAGTTGCAAGCGTCGTAAAAACTCTACTAAAACTAAACTAAATATGTTTTATTGTGTAGGAAGTATTCCCTTATTTCCATTTGCCTCTATGTTGTCCTGCAGCTCAGTTTTTGTCAGGTCCGTCTTTAAGTTTCTGTTTGTGTGACTAAAGTGTTTGAGTCTCCTGTCCCTGATCCATTCTCCTGATCATAGTTATTTTGTTTGACCAGCAGACAGCTTGACCATTGACCACCATGCTGGCTCGTGCTCTCCCCGGACACCCCTGGGGCTACCGTGTCCTGTTTGCTGCTTTCGTCCTCTTAGCCGTGATGGACTTGCCATTGGCCCGAGGTGACGTCGCTGTGGTGAGTTATAGGGGTGGTTGGCGGATGCTCTAGTGTGGTTTGCTCCTTCTTTCCTATTAAACATCAATCATTCTTTTTTATTTTGTTGTAACACTTGATTTTTTTACACTTACCTTCACCCCCGGGTGTCACTGACTGAAGTGTCTTTAGGCCTTTCCCAAAGGGGGGACATTAACCTGTTCTAATGCTCAGTTAGAATTGTAAATGGGCTGATTCATCAATGTCATGCTCATAACTGTGCCTGAACTGCAACAGGGAACTGCTGCTTTTTCTTTCCTAATCCTTACTATCGTCATTTTTTCCTGTACTTCTTTTGTATGTTTGTCACACTCTTGTGACCCTCTATTTCCGGGATGACTTGATAGTCGAAGCAGACTTTGTGCTGTTGAAGCTAGAGACGTGAGTAGAGTAAGCCTGATTCCCTGTAAAGACATCTCTGTTGACATCCATCCCTTTGCGCTCATATGACCATATTCAGTTGGGAGCGCTGTGAAAACTACTAAAACTAAAAACTAAACACTTACCTTATTGTGTTGCAAGTGACGTATAGCTTGCAAAATGAAACAAATAATGAAGTGCGTAAATACTTTGCTACAGGTGGCAATGTACAAAATTTGTTATGGTCTTAGATGTTGCCCCAGCTGGATGTTTGTAGATTCTTTCCTCAGTTAGTTTTTCATACTTTCAGATTGACATAGACCAAAACCGGACTATAACCTCGTTCGCTGACATGCAGGCTGGATTTGGTAGCGATTTTCCAGAGGATGGTCTGGAGGTGAGTGGTCTGAAATTGTCTGTCTCCATGTGTGTTTGTGACAGTAAAAATAAAAAATAAAAAGTTTTGCTGTTCTGTCCACAGTGGAGAAAGTAACGACTGTTGGACTGACTGCCGTACAAGAACCCCATATTCATGTTCATAGCTCTTGTAAATCCACAGTCAATCACATGAAGCTGTTGGGTGACAATGATTGATCAAGGCGCACAAGAGGGTTTGCGCTACGGGGGACTTGTGTCAGTCTGCACAAAAATTTGTTGAGTGTAAGCTCGCAACATGTGCACAGGCGCCTAGACTCTGACATGCTTTGACTTGAATACATGTGTTGGCATCACACATTGATACTCTCAGCTTCTCATCTGTAGAAAGACAGGCACTTGTGTGTTCCCAAAGCAACTTCTCACACGCAACACACGTCAAGTTTTCTGTTGTTTCATTGCTAGAAGACAGGACACTTTCGTTCCGAGGACATATTGACAATGTTGCTGTCAGGGCTCAGAAGGGCATCAATGTAGTGAAGACCTTGGCTTCAGCGGGAATTCAACAGAGAGTTCTCTTTCTCCTAATGCAGCTGGTAGTTCTGTCAGTCATAGACTATGGGCTGGGCATCCTCTCCCTGTCCAAGACTCCGATAGACAGGTTGGAGAGAGTACAGAATGCAGCTATGAGGGCCGTTCTAGGTTGCACAAAGGACACCCATGTTGTCTGTTTGAGATACATCCTTGATCTGGCCAGCATCAGAGTGAGGCATAAAGTGACACAGGCAAAGCTGTACTTGAATGTTTTGGGAGACCCGAGGCACCCTTTGCATGACAACCTGAACAGAATCAAACGGGGCAGCTCATGGATGGCAGAAGCCGAAGACTCCTTGAGGAAAGTTTGTGGCATCGATGAAATATGCTATGGAAAGGAGTGGTTTGAACTGAGCCCCGATTGCAGAAGCCTGGCCAACGTTCACATCACTATGGGTCGTGAAAGACGGGAATGTGCTGCTGTCATTAACGACAATGATATACGACAGTTAATTGAGGAGCATTCCAAGCCAGGAGACCCAGTGATCTATACGGATGGATCAGCCAGGAGGGGTGAGAGAAGTGGATGGGGTTTTGTGGTGTACAGTGGGAACAAAAAGGTTCATTGCATGTCAGGGGCCATAGAAAGAACAACTTACAGCATGAAAATGGAGATTGAGGCCGTAACAAGAGCGCTTGGATGGCTTCATAATACAAGACTAAGAACAACTCATTTCATCATTGTCACGGACTCTCAGAGCATCTTGCGAAGGGTTGAGAAAGGGCTTCTTCGGAGTGAATGGATGAACCCAATACAACACTCATCACTTAGAGCCATCACGTGGATATTCTGTCCTTGGGCACTCTGGAGTGAAAGGCAATGAGGAGGCTGATAGGCTGGCAGGCAGTGCCGTGGTTGATGGTGAGGTAAAATTTGACAAAGGAGAAGTGTTGAAGACCCTGGAGAAAAAGTTGCAGGATGAAGAAGACAAGGAGACAGCAGAACACCACGCAATCATTAGGATGCGGGAAATGGGGATAGAGAGGGGAGAAGGAAGAAAGGAGTGATTATCTGGAAAGGAAAGGCGTCGCCATAATCAGACAGCCACCGGAAAAATCAGTATGGATACCTTGCGGGCTTACGTGCTGGGGGGAACTGAGCACTTATGGACCTGTCCGGTGTGCAATGACGTTGTTGCCCAGGACAGGTAATACAGGTAATAGACAGGCGTACACGTTCTCACAAACATAAAACTTCTTTCACTTGTTACATTACGCACAGCAGACTTGTAGGAGGTTGGAGGATGCCACTAGCAGGTTGTTTTTATTTCCGAACCTTTATTGTTTCTTTCTGTCTTTCTTAATTCCCCCCCCCCCCCCCTGCGGTTGATGTCCATTGCCGTATTAATGTGCTTTCTTTTTACTCATAGCTAAGACAGGCATGCTGACAAAACCAAGGTCTTGTCTCACCTGTTCACCGTCATCCTCGCTCGTCCAGACAGACCATCCTGATGTCCTCTTACACATACACACATTTTTGTCCAAACAGACATCTATCATCCTTATCTCTCCTCCTTTTTTGTGTTTCCCTCTTACTCTTGTAACACCTTTAATCTTCGGCACTCGACCAACCCCTCGGGGCGGTGCTACTGACTGAAGTGTTTAGGCCATTCCCGAAGGGGGGACAATAGCATGTTCTTATGCACATTTGAATTGTAAATGGCTGACTCTTCAATGTCATGCTCATAACTGTGCCTGAACTGCAACAGGGAACTGCTGCTTTTTCTTTCCTAATCCTTACTATTGTCATTTCCTCTACTTCTTTTGTATGTTTGTCACTCCCTTGTGACCTGCCATGCTATTTTGGGGTGCCTTGATAGTCGAAGCAGACCTTGTGCTGTTGAAGCTAGAGAGGTGAGCACAGTAAGCCTGATTCCCTGTAAGGACTTTCTGTTGACATCCACCCGTTGGCGCTCATATGACCTTATGCAGTTGAGAGTGCCGTAAAAACTACTAAAAAAGCACAAAAAAACCAAACTCACATGACCTAATTGTGTTGCAAGTGTGTAAAATGGTTCCTAAAATAAAACATAAAGCGCACATTTCTTTGACTCCTGTCAGAAGGTAACAGGCTTGTCTTCCTGCATGCGTCCTCAGGGTTTCGTGGTGTACGCCAAACCTCACACAGCCTGCACCAAGTTGCTGAACCCAGCTCCGAAAGAGAAGGGTGACTACAAGTGGATTCTGCTCATTGCTCGGGGAGATTCGTGCCAGTTTGCCGACAAGGTTAGTGGTGACATAGATAGGTGTGGGTCAAGGTCAGTGGTGGGATAGATAGGGGAAGATCAAGATTGGTGGAGGGATGGATTCAAGATCAGTGGCTTTTCGTCTATAGAACTTTCTGCCAAGTAAGAATGTGGCTTTAAGTGGATTCAGCTTTTTGCTTGGGGAGATTTGTGGCAGTTTGCTGACACGGTCTATGTTGGGGACTTGGCATGGACAGACATGTGTGGGTCCTGTTTGGTGACAGCATAATATAGGTGAGTACAAGTCTTGGTTAGTTGTGGGACAGGTAGGTGCAGGGCATGAGGGAATCAACTTTCTGCTTTATTTTTGTCTTCTCCTCAGGTACTCAATGCACAGAACAACAACTACGATGCTGCTATAGTCCATGACGACCGCCAGGAATCCCATCTACCCGTCATGGGTGGTGTCAGTAAGTTCTGTATTGGCTAGATCTGTTCGCAGTAGAACCTTTCCATAATGGTCACTCAAAGTCACATAAAAAAGTGACTGTTATAGGCATGTGTACAAGACTTGTCAAAGTCAACAGATGGATTACAATCTTAATTCAATTGTTCCATTTCATTCCTATCTACATTGTTAGCTATCTTTAGAGTTTCCTTGCTTTGTTGGAATGTGCACATTCAGTTTGAGGATGGGCTGGTAGAAATCTTTTGTAGCAAGTGACCACCATGGGAATGTTTAGAGGCTGACTTGTCGTGAAAATAACTGACAGTTGCCATGTTGAAGACTGACTATTATGGACAGGTTAAAGATATGTTACCTATGTTTATCTTCAGTTATTCACATTCAAACCCACCACCACCACCACCTCTCCCCCCCCCCCTCATCTGGGTGGTTGGGGGTCACTACTGGTAGGTCCTCCATCTTTATTTTTTTCATCTGATTTTTCTGCCTGTCAGTTTCACTTTTGTCATGCACTAATTACTGATTGACTGTTTTTGTGGTCACGTAATTTTGTTTTAACAATTTAAAAATCTCTCCCCCCTTCCGCTCTTACACATATACACACAAACGCACATATTCATTCACTCACTCATATTATTCATGTCTCACAGTTTCCCTGTCTTTCAGTTCACACCCCCCCAACACCATATTTTACATAATTTTTCCCTACACTCATTATCCCCCCCCCCCCCCCCCCAACACCATATTTTACATAATTTTTCCCTACACTCATTATCTCACACTATTTCTGCAATATTCTCTCTCTCTCAATTTCCCCAGATGGGAGCAAAGTTCACATTCCGTCTACATTTGTTGGGCTCGATTCTGGACAGATGCTAGCCGGTGTCTACAATGCCACCTCGTGAGTGCTATTTTTAGTTTTGACACGTGTATGGATTGAGCACTGCACTCTGCCCTTTTCACCCATGTGTGTTGTTAAAGACTGTGTATACAGAGCTGCCTAAATCTACTGATTTTTCCGGTAGTTACCGATTTTGGGCCTGTTCTACTGCTATACTGATAAAGGGGTCGAAACTTTCTGGATTTGCGATGGGCGCCTAGAGTAAAAGAATAAAAAAGACCCATTCTGCAGTGTTTTTCAATCTTCCCAGTTTTTACGAAAATCCGTACATTTTGCATATATCAACTGAATGCGTTAAAGAAAAGAGAGAGAGGTGGTAGATCTGTAAGCTTCTCTGCATTTCGTAGCATAGGGTATAAGTACTTGCATCCGCAACTTTTCGAACATTTATGGTAATTCTTGGCAATAAAATGTTAGAAACTGCCAGATTCCGGATGGTCGGCAATAGATTTTCACATGCGAATCTGCTAAAATCTGGTAAGCTTCCTCCTTCCTTTCATTCATACTTTCTATCTATCTTCGGGTTTTTGCTGCGGCTGGAAAATATGTGCATTTATTTATCTAAATCGTGAATGTTGAAAGAAAAAACGAATCAGAGCAAAACTTTCACAAATTTGTCTAGATCTAGAGAATTGGTCGCTACCGGCATGAGGATTTTTTGGCCGCGGGATAAAGCCGCAGTGCAAGAAACTAATGCTAAACTTTTAAAATAACAATTCCGAGGTTTGGATATTCGACAATCAAGCACATAAATGAAGGGAAATTAGAGTACATGCTTGGTGATCGTACTTTCAAGATTAGTGTTCACGGATTTGCCTACTGTCAATAGTGCGATGACAAATTGAATAGTAGCAATGGAGAATGCCATTTTCAACCCCTGGAAAGCTCTAAAGTTCAATTTTTTCTGGGGCTTCGCGCGATCCCCCACTGGACCTTGCTGGGGGCTTATATTGAAGGGAAAAAGAAGCACTTCTTTTTTAGATGCATTTGAACTTGAAGTGCCTGACGTGATGCTGGAGGATAAGATCTGGAAGCTTAATTTTATGATTAGAGCTCTGTGCGGCATAGCACCCCTTTGTTGGATGTCCATGCTTCGTGATAGCTTGTTACTGTTTAAAACTGGTTCTGTGATTTAGCTATCTGAAAAACATCAATATGTAGTCCATGATGCAGTGATTGCCAGATTTTCAACATCACTACATCCCTTGTCCTCACACCCCTTCCAGCTTCCGCTCTCAGTACATGCTTTTTTCTAATGTTGCTAATTGCTCTACCGTGAGCCTAGCTACATTTATTATGTTTTTCTTTAAATAAATTTTGTTTTGCATGCTTTTTAAAATCTGTGAATGCTGAAATATGGTTTGTACAGTTGATGTGGTGGCCTTTCCACAGGCCCAGATCAGGATTTATTTTTATTTTTAAATATTTTTTAGGAAAGCTTGTTAAAATGTCTGTCATACCTAACTCACACAGGATTAGTCAGTGCGTCAGTGCTCTATGGGTATGCCATTGTCTGCACTCAATTCCACTTTCAATACTAATTGCTTAGGTGCCTTAAAGGACAGTCCATAAATGCTTTAAAAATATTTGTCTCATTTCACAAACGCTGTTCACCTTCACTTTTGCACCTCCAGACACCCCCCTCGCCTCCCCACATACATTATCACATGCGAGCGCCTCCCCCCACAGCGCCAGTGCTCCCAATCTTTTATGGAAATCCATACTCTCTGACAGTTTCGTTCTTGCGCTCATTTTCAACTAGATCAATATCCGTAAAAAAGTGCAGTAGCGTAGGGCTACTGAAATTCCGTAATAAGGATCTGTACTCAAATTTCATGTCATCTTGTTGTATGTTTAAGTTTAGGATATTTGCAGTAATTCTCTCGGCAAAAGTTAATGGAAACCTGCCAGATTGCGCATTTCCTACAATCGGCCATTTTGAATTGCATACTTACGACCTTAGAGCATGCATCAAAATAACATTGAGTATGTATTTAGCTTAGGATTATTATTGTTTATATTGCTGCTCATTTATATTATGCATGTGATTGTAAGCCTACGTGTGTGTACATGGGTGTGTGCGTGTGTGTGTGTGTGCGAGTACACGCGGTGAAACACCAAACCAATGTGCCAGGATCTGGACAATAAAGATGTATCTTATCTTATCTTATTCATTGAGGGTTGATCGGCAATATTTTTACCTGCAGATAGGTCGAAATCTGGCTAGGCATGATCGCGAATTTTTTTGCGCAAATTTCCTCCTTTGTTTCATTCACTCATTCTTTCTATCTTCGGATTGTTGCCACTGCTGGAAAATCTGCGCGTTGATCAATTAAATTGACTTTCGATTTTAGAAAGAAAATCTTTATCAGAAAGAAACTTTTACTTGCAAATTTTTCTAATTCCAAGGAAATAAAAATTGTCAGTGCGATGATTCTATGGGAACGTAATAACTCCCGCAGTGAAATTTATGCTAAAACTAAAACTTACTAAAATCAAGAATATTTGGAAGCGGTGTTCTGAAGTGCCATTCGACCTTCAAACCTAAATATTGAGGAAAATTAGGGTATACACTGGGTAACTCTATATTCTTATCGTCAAAGTACATGTCTATTCATTATTCCCAGGTTTGCCTTCTGTCAATTGTGGGATTACAAATTACAAATTAATTGAATTATAGTAGCTACGGCACGGGGAACCTGCATATAAACATTGCCAGCAATGGAAGGCTATATTGGCGAAGAAATCCAACAAGACAAAACCTTGGTGCAAAAAAAAGTGTTATGGGTTGTGCTGGGTGGCGCTCACACACACACACACACACACACACACACACACACACACACACACACACACACACACACACACACACACACACACACACACACACACACACACACACACACACACACACACACACACATTGTGCATGTACACACAAGTTCTCAAAAGATAATTACCCAATATCATGAACAGCATGCCCTGCTCGATAGTAACTACGCATATTGGTGCTACGATAATTTTTTTTCCCCTTCTTTGTCTTTGTACTATCTGATTTTGGGCCAAAATACCTTAAACTGGAACTTTGAGGCAGGCAGCCCTGTGTATATTAGTTTACTTGTAGGGTGCATTGAGTGTACAGCTTGGTATTATGACTTGAATATAAACGTGTTGTTTGTGTCAAAATCATATGTGTTTGTGCTGTGTTGAGTAAATGTGTGTCCATGTGACTGTGTTTAGTGCATAATGAGTTCTGGGCTAAGTTGCCTCACATGGATAAGCTGTATTGTGTTGAGTACTCCAACCAGCTGTTAAAATCCCGCTGAAACCGGTACTTAAGTAAGCGACCAAGCCCTGATCTGACCTCCTGCATGAAGGTAATAAATCAGTGTCAGTCGAGCTTTCCTGCGCTCAACCACTAGTCTATGGCAATAACGATGACTGCCTCCTTGCCTCTGTAACTTGATTCCGGTATTTTTAATAACACTTTCCATCATTATCTCTCCATCTGATAATCCTGGAAGCTCAACCAACATTGCATTTAAAGATCATATCAGACTGAAGAGCTAGAACTCAGATGGCCGCTGGATCGGAAAAAAGTAAAGTAAAGATCACATCAGACCAACAAGATGATCCCCCTTTTTTCCCTGAAATCCTACCTATTTATGCATTTTATGTAAACATATTTTTTTGTCTTGACACTGCAATGGACTGGTATTTTGTACGAGTTCAATTTTCAAAGGAATTAATTTCTCACTGTATAGAACATTATGGTGTGTGGTTGGCGGGTACTCTTGTCAATGGATTATTGGTTTCCTCTTTTTTCCTATATCACACATCTATCATCCATATCTCTCCCCTTTTTTTTGTGTTGGTTACTCTCGTGTAACACTTCTAATCTTCAGCATTTACATGACCTAATTGTATTGCAAGTGCAAGAAAACATTTGCTAAAACAAATTTAAAAAGGAGCATCATGGTTTCACACTTGTCAGCATTTATCTCTCAGTGCGTAGATTCAATGGAAGTGCTTGTGTCCACAGGAAGAAGTATATTGTTCGGATCCAAGAGTCACCACAGTTCGACTACAAGATGTACCTGTGGCCGTTTGCCATTGTGGTGGCTGTCTGCTTCCTCATGGTCATGATTTTCCTGGTCAGTGAAAGGTTGCTCTTATTACTTGATAGGGCTTTTGAACTTATACACTTATTTTATTCTTCTTCTCCCAATCCCTGTATATTTATTCCCTATTTCTCTCTGTCATTCCTGGTTTAAGCCTTCTCTTGACTTCACATTTGCCTTTTTTACTTCCACTTGTATTAATTTTTTAAAATTGTATTAAATCCACACTTGTTATGCTGGGAGCCTAATAGAATACTTATTCGACCCTCTGAACCTCTTGATGTTTCTTCAGAAAAAGCAACATTCTGTATACTGTCTCTTTAACTTTTTCCTCTTTGAATGAAACGGGATGTTGTTTTTGTCATTGATAAACAATTCATAGGACTGCAATATGCTCATTTGCAAATTTGTTTTTCTGTATGTAGATGGGAGTTTGTGATTCCATTGCTTTTGCCTTGTTCCCTGCACTTATTGACATGAAAATTAGTCATTTACTTCATATGTACCTTTATTTGGATTTCTCTTGAATTTGCCGAATTGGAGGGAGAGATTTAGAGTCACATGTTAAAGTATGCTGGAAGCAGAAAATTCTCTGCGACTGGGCAGTGGAAACAGTTCAGCAAGGAATGGTTCAGACCACAAAGTTCTTTGTTCTGCTTGGTTGTTAAATTTATGGCCCCTTTGTCTTTAAATCGGCAGATTTTTCTTTCTTCTATGTGTAGATCGTCAAGTTTGTACGTGAACACACTAAACGTAGGCTCAACCGGTTGTCGTCGAAACATCTGAAAAAGATTCCTGTTCGCAAGTACAAGAAAGGTAAAGATTGAAGTTGTTTTATATATTATTTCTTATGCCACTTTGCTATGGGTAGGGTACTGCATAATTAAACTGGGGTGAATTTTAGTATTTGTGAGGCAGCGTGGTGGGATCAGGCTCTCGTCAATTTTGGGGGATGTTGAGTTATTGGTATCATCTTAAAGCTTGTTCATTTGTCTTTATTAGGATGAAAAAAGTATCCATTTATCTTGAATACAAGTCGAGATATTTGCAAGAGAAGGAGGTGAGGGTCACCTGTTTTCCGAGGTAAAATTTGTGAGAAAATGGCCGCCAAAGATTAGTTATTTCCTTTGCCTAAGAGTCCGTGGTAACTAAAAGTTGACATTTTTTGTGCGTTGAATCAACGTTTTTCAGAAAATGTACACAGAAATGAGTTCTTTAATGGGCATTAAAGGTGTTGAGTGAAAAAACAAAAATTTGACAAAAATTCACAAACCAGCGGAAAAATACAAATTTCTTCACTTCGATTAGTTTGACGAGAGCCTGATTTGATTCCACCACGCTGCCTCACATAAAAAAAAAAAGGCCTAGGTAGTTGATAAGCTCAGGCCCACAATAATGTCAATGGATTATTGCTTCTCTCTTTTTATGATCATTTATGAAAATTGTCCTCATCCCAGATTGACTGGTTTCCAGAAGTAAAGACTTAAAAACAGTAGTCCATAGAAAAAATTCCCCCCCCAACACCTTTCAGAGATTCAAATCTCCCATTGTTAGTTCTGTAAACATTTATAGACTTGTGTTTTTCTGTACCTCAGGAGACTACTACGACACCTGTGCTATCTGCCTTGATGAGTATGAGGATGGGGAGAAAATTCGAGTTTTGCCGTGCGACCATGGTAAGTGTAACAACTGTGTTGTGTTGTCCTTGAAACTGCCCTAAGAATCAATAGTGCTACATTTTTCTCTAAGAGACAGTCAGTTGTATAGTCCTTCAAGGCCATGTTAAGTGTAATATAGTCTAGCACGCAAACAGCAACCAGATTTTCAGGTTCTGAATTTTTTTCTTACATATGTATATTCTCTGTATTTAAGACGTATACATAGCAAAATTGGTTCATGACGAAAAGAATTCTATATCCCACCGATTTTGCTATGTGAGTGCTATTCTGAAGTTGTGCTGTGTTGTGCTTTTTTAAACTCATTGAGGATGGGTATTCCAGAGATGCCAACCAGTACGATTTTACGTATTTTAGTACGATTTTTGGCCGAAAATACGCGAATAAGACTTTTCATGAAAAAATACGCATCCTGGAATGCGAAAAATACGAGATTCAGCTTGGTCGAGTAAACCTAATTATCTCAAGTCCCATCTTTTGTCGAAATAGTTTCAGTATCGCGGAACTGAAATATTTGAAAACCAAGTCCGATAAGGTCAGTAAGTTCATTTTTGCCGGTCGCGATTGTGATATTATATTCGTTCAGCTTTTCACCGTCGAGAGTATGTTTCAACTTTCACGCGAAGAGGCGGCTATGGCGGAAGTGTATGTGACACCGAGGCTCGATAGGGAAAATCAAGTTCAAGATCTACTTTCGCTTTCGTTACCACCGAGAAGTTTGCCAGCGGTAGTCTGATAACGGAATATTTGTGACAATGCAGGTTGTGCAAAGTAAAAGCTGTGTTGCCGCGCAAATAAAATTTATTCAACACTCGGACTCGTCTCTGTGCTGTCACTTGTGGGAAAAAAAGAAAAGAAAATACAAGTGTCGTCCGATTTTTAGATTGTCTGGTTTGCCATTGTGACCGGTCAGTGACCCTACGCGCATTCGCATCTTAAATAAATGCGGCATCGTGTGAGCGAAGACCGTCTTTGGTGGGGGTAACGGCCTTGCGAAGTATAGGACTACGGAATAGAGGAGGGGATTATTGATTTTTTAAAAAAGATACACTTGGGGGGAAGGGGGGTGATGGCAACACCAGAGAACAAAAACCTGGAAGCAAATTTCAGAATTTTGATTATAGCTCTCTGCAAAGCGCGAGTTGGTGCAGGCCGTGTGGGGAATCGGGGATCCTTCATACTTTGCAAGTCTGTGTTATTAAAATAAAGTGTTCGCGTTTCATTGGATGGGTAATAGATCTAGAATCTAGTAAATTATACATACCAACAGTGTATGTTGTAGCTTTCTGTTCAAGACTGGCAGATTTTCAGTGTCACTGCATCTTGCCCTCCCACAGTTGTTACAACTCTCACACTGCGTGGGTCTACTTGAGCCATTCAAGTTATTGCTCTTCTCTGAGTTTGAGCGTGGGTGGTTGGCGGGTGCTCTGGTGTGGTTGCTTCTTCTTTCCTATCAAACATCTATCGTCTTTATCTCCCCTTCTTCTTTTTTATGTTTGTTACTCTCTTGTGACACCTCTAATCTTCTGGCGCAGTTGCGAGCGCCGTAAAACCTCTACTAAAACTGAGTTTGAGCAATAATTTTAGTATGTCAGTTCATAATATGAATTATGATACCCAGACTGGTTCTTGATTATCGAAATTCTTGTTCTAGGCCCTTCTGAACGCTCAAAGCAGGATTAAATTTTTTATATAATAATGAGAGGAAAATATTTTAAAAGACTGAAATACTTAAGTCAAACAAGACAATGCAACAACATTTATTTTGAACCCCCCGGGGCAGTGCGACTGACTGAAGTGTCTTTAGGCCATTCCCAAAGGGGGATATTTCTCGTTCAAGCATAGTAGAATTGTAAATGGGCTGACTCATGTCACATTCATAACTGTGCCTGATCTACAACAGGGAACTGCTGCTTTTTCTTTCCTCATCCTTACTATTATCATTTTCCTCTACTTCTTTTGTATGTTTGTCACTCCCTTGTGACCTGCCATGCTATTTTGGGGTGCCTTGATAGTCGAAGCAGACCTTGTGCTGTTGAAGCTAGAGAGGTGAGCACAGTAAGTCTTGATTCCCTGTAAAGACTTCTCTGTTGACACCCACCCCTTAGCGCTCATATGACCTTATGCAGTTGCGAGCGCCGTAAAACCCTCTACTATTTAGAAAAAAATTATTATTTTGATGAAATGTGCAAATCTGTGTTTGTGAATTTTGTGTGGTGGTTCGAAATGTGCTGCAACATTGCTTTTGATCAAACAAATGTGTCTGCAACACACTTAAAGAGTTAAACTGCCCTATTTGTTAAGATTCAACTGTGCTGAATTGTTCTCTAAGAGATATTCAATTGTGTTATATAGTCCTACAAGACACTGCCAGTTGTTGTGTGGTGTCCTCCTAGTCCAGGTCTGTTGTACATTATTGTCCTGTTAGAGAAGTCAGTTGTATTAACCTATTTCATCGAGTTAGTTTGTAGTCCTCTATTGCCTTGCCAATATAAAGAAAATATGACAGTTCAGTCATTCAGTCTGGGAATGACATGTTGCACTAGCTACCAGTGATGTCAAGTTTTGAGTGTTCGTGTTATCTGTGCTGGACTGTGCCTAGATATAAACATACGTATGTAAATACAATGTACATACAAAGAATATTTCTGTCAAAGTCACCAAATACACAATATCAGACCAATACAAACAATTTTAGAAGCACGCCATTGCTAGTCGCCACTAAGATAAGATAATACTTGACTGTCTCAGAGGGAAATTTTTCTTGACTGTACAGGACTTTAAATACACATGCAGGCATACATGTGCAATGCCCGGTTGAGAGAAAACACAAAGGTTAACCAACTATGCATTTTCTACATTACGCTTTTGTGTTATCCCAGTGTACCACACCAAGTGCATTGACCCGTGGCTGACCAAGAACAAGAAGACGTGCCCGGTGTGTAAACGCCGAGTCATCCCTGGTCGTGACGCTGACTCCGAAGACTCTGACTCTGACTCTGATGGAGGTTCTCGAGCGGAGAGCACTCCTCTTCTCCGTGGTGGGCCCAGTTCGAATCCTGCTCGGTCTGCCTATGGAGGGGCTACTAGTGCCCCTGGAGGTAGGTTATTGGAGGGTGGGCAGATATTTGAGTGTCACGGGGAGAAGGGGGGGGGGGGATTGATAATGTGGTAGGAAAACAGGAGGATAGGTTGTAGAGGGGGGAGGTTGATTAAGGGGAAGGAGATTGAGAGGGTGTGTTGGGGAGAGATTAACAGGGCGACTCCTGAGAATTGCCCGAGAATTAAAAAAGAATATGCCGAGACCTGGGAATTCCCCCGGGTCTATGAGGAAATCTGTATACTGTTCCAGGAAAGACCCGGGAAAATGCACAAAGTTCTGGAATATTTGAAAAGCGAATCCGTTAAGGTCAGTAAGTTCATTTTCGCCGGTTGCGATTGTGATATTTGTTCAGCTTTTCCCGCGTTTTACGCGAAAAGGCGGCTATGGCGGCAGGCCAAAATGTATGTGTGACACGAAGTTCGATAAGGAAATCAAGATCTACTTTCACTTCCGTTACACCACCCAGAAATTTGCCGGTGATAGTCTGGATAACTCCACGTTTGTGACATTCAGGTTGTGCAGTATAAATGCTGTGTCGCCACGCAAATAAATCAGTATTCGTCACTGTGCTGTCACTTGTAAAAAAGAAGAACAGAAAATACAAGCATCATCTGCTTTTTAGATTGTCGTGCTCGCCATCAGTGAACCTGCGTGCGTTCACATCATGAAATATGGCATCATGTTAGTACCTGCAGTTGTTGTTGGGGTCACCAAAGTTCATTCGAATCCTGAGCGTTGCCAAGTATAGGACTCCGGAATGGGGGAGGGCACTATTGATCTTTTACAAAGATACATGGGGGGGGGGGCTTGAAGGCAACAGCTGATGACAAAAACTTTGAAGCAAATTTCTGAATTTTGATTAGAACTCTTTGCAAAGCGCGTGTCGGTACAGGCAGTGTGTGGAATTGAGATCGATCATACCGTTTAAGTCTTGTTTTTGAACTAAAGTGTTCGCATTTCACTTGTAACTATATTGTAGCTTTCTGTTCAAGATTGGCAGATTTTCAGTGTCACTGCATCTTGCCCTCTCTCAGTTCTCACACTGAATAGGTCTACTTAGTCATTCAAGTTATTACTCTACTTTGAGCAATAATTTTTGTCTTTCATGTTCATAATATGAATCCTGACACCTAGACTGTTTCTTGACAGTGGATATTTTTATTCTAGGCCATTCTGCAGGCTCAAAGCAAGATTCTATTTTTATATAATTCATATACACAATATGATAAGAGGAACATATAACAGACTGAAATACCTACGTCACACATGACCCCAATGCAACACTGACATGTTGACTGGATATATTGTATGTACGTAAGTGTGTATATGTATATATACAATACATGGAACACGCGCTTTCATTGTTATATAACATACTCCTGGAAAATTGAGAAGCCGGTTAGCAGTCACCCTGGATTAATTATAAGATATGAGACTGAGAGGATGTGTTTTTGAGGTGGAAACTAATGCTGACTTAGAGAGGGGAGGGCTAGGTGTACAGTGGAACTTTTTTGAAAACTCGGATGAAACGAAAGGAGTGGGATTCCCCGATTTTTTAAAATTCATAAAAGACAATAAAAAATAACTCGGATTCAACAAACACATAAGTAAGCAAGCAGGGTGAACTGTTCTGTGTGACCAATCAGCAGCCACCTTTCATACCAACATGCGTGTTGTTATCACGCACCCATGTCTCAGCACGTGCTGGGCTCAAACGGGCAGCCAGCGTACATGTGACTGCGTGTGGGTGTGTCTGGGGGAGGGGGTACAAATGGTCTGGGCGTTAAATGTCAGTAGAGATACAAACGCGCCGCATTTTTTTCCCCCCCCCCGGCTACTAATCAATATTACAATGATAAGCTAATCATGACATAGATTTATTCTACGTAATGAATTGCATGCTGGATTGTGGATCACAAACGTTACTTGCTCTGGGCCTGTAATTACAAAAACCTCATATTTGCCCATTGCCATAAATGAAACCTCGGATTCAACGAAGTTGAAGGCCAGGCCAGACGACGTAGTTGAATCCGGTTTCCACTGTTTACAGTAAGCAGGGAAAGCAAAGTGTATACAGTACTAGATAATGTTGCCTGAGTCTCTCAGCCTCTGTTCTTCTTCCTCTCTTGCCCCTCCAGCATCTGCAGAGGTCCACGAGGAAACTGAGACTCCCCAGGCCACGGGCGGTGTTGGCATCTCGGACATTGCCACAACTGTGACAGCGGAGGTAAAAGAGGAGACCCGGGGGCCCTCACGTTCTGAAAGACGTCGCCGACGACACGACCGGGAGCGCAGGCAGGACAGAGAGCAGAGACAGGAGTTGGCCAGTGGGCAGGTGGACCAGGGAGAGGAAGATGGCGGGGCTGTAGGGGGCGCTGCTGCCTTAGGCCTGGCGGAAAATGTGGCTCGCGAGCTGCAGAGGGAGGAGACGAGAGAGGAGCGCCGGGAGAGGAAGAGGAAGAAGAAGGAGGCCAAGAGGAAGAGGAGAGCGGACAATGCCCCAAGGGTAAGTGAGGTGGCGGACGGGGACCGCCAGACTCTGCTGGATGATGATACAGACGAGTTTGTCAGCGCTCACTCCAGCTTCAGAGAGGTCGATCAGGGCTCTGACGATCTGCAGAAAGCAGAGTTGGAGAGACAGAGGGAGATTGAGAGAGAGAGGGAGGAGGAGAGACAGAGGGAACTAGAGAGGGAGAGGGAGGGGTACATCAATCCAAGCTATTCTGAGAGTCAGGAGGTGACTGTAGCGGGATCAGGCAAGAGGGAACTGAATGAGGTGGTGTAGTCCTAGAGAAAGCTCTAGAAAGGGGAGGAGGGGGAGGGGCAGACAATATGATAGAGGAATTAAAGTTGAAAAAAGATGATGACCACAATAGAAATATGATTATTTACTTTTTTTAGATGGATAAAAGTTTAAAACACTTTACTTTGACCATTGTTTGGTGTGACAGCGTTGAGAGTAAACTGGAATCGGTGCATATGCTTAAAGCCGTAATTCAAGCTTGTGACTTTTACATTTTTCTTTATGGTCTTTAGTCAGATGTACAGTATCTGCATGAATTTTTAATTCTTACAACTTGTCCTGATTTGTAAATGCCTCAATGATTATAGTACTGGTTCTTCTAATTTCTATCCAGGAATAGTGTCACTAATTTGAGTCACTTTCCTTGTCGTGTCTTCGTTCTTTGCAAGACTCCAGTTTTGTTGGGCATCAGTGTGATGAAGCCTCTCTTATTGTGTAACACTATCAGTGTTTCGAATAATTGTATTTTTAATCATCTCCAATGTTTGAAAATTTTCTTTTTCATGAAAGCATAAAATTTTTGAAAGACTTTAGTCTCCTGTTGTAATTAATTTTGATGTTGATGCTTTGGGGTCCCCTTGCCACATTGTGAGTGTTAAGATGGGCTCATCTTTTGTAAGAGCATAGATACAGATTGTTGTCCAGGAGGCTTGGCTGTGCTTTATGCAGGTTATGAAGGACAGCAGAGTGAGAGTAGAGGTAGATGGCATTCGACTTGATGCTGATTTTTATCTTCTGATCATGTCTGTATAACACCCCTCCCCCCCTTCCCACATCTAGTGTTAACAATTTGATTCTGTCCAACTAGCAAGACTGTTCCTAGAGCTTTAAAGTGTATTGATCGTTCAGATTGGGATCACATAGCCATGCATGCTCTGGATGTGGTATCTGACCTTCTCATGTTTACTGTCATATTTAAGATGACCATCCATTTCCTGCATTGATGAAGTTTCTTTTTTCTCTTTGTAATTTGATGAGATGAGATGATTTATTTTTTTTATGACAGGTATGGTTGTCAAAATTTCCTTTTTTGTGTCCATTGTCATGTGGCTCTTTTTTTGTCAAGTTGTCTTGGCATTTTAAGCAAACCTCTGTGCCATGGAGTGCCATCTGTGAAAGTTTCAGTGTTCCCAGTCATAGCATGTTCATCTTTTTCGATTTTGATATATGTTTATTTGAACCGATATGAGTACTCAGGATTGGTGTCTGATAGTTCTCTATGGCTCATTGTCTATGGTATTTAAGTGTATGACTGCATCTGGCCCCTTTCCACTGGGTGGTGTAAAGAAGTTTGAATGTAGCATTCCACCAGTCTGTGAGCAGTGCAGTTAAGTTTGACTGTATCATTCCTCATCATATCTGTGGGTGATGTTGTCAGCTCTAACTGTATCACTCTACATAAGTGTACGGATGGTAGAATTAAGGTTGACTGTATCACTCTACACCTATGTATATGGATAGTATAGTTCGGTTTGATTGTATCATTCAGCATTATGTGTACAGATGGTGTGGTTAGCTTTGACTCTATTGTTCAACATTATGTCTTTGAATGATGCAGTTGGATTTGACTGTATCATTCCACATGCACAACATTTTCATGTCTTTATTGATTCTTACCTTTGTGCTTTCATAAGACGTGCTGTGCCTGGTGTGTGTAAGATGCTGCTGTGTGTATATGATGTGTGCATGTGCATGTACAGAAATTGATAACTGTTAACAGTCTTTTTCATGATATAGTCACTCTGATTGTTTCCTGTCTTTGTAAAGGAACTGAATTATTCTGTATGTTGACATTGAACAACTGATTTTTAACCTTCTATTGAGTCCGTATTCTTTTAAAGACTGGTTTCATCAGAGTACTTGTAGCCACTTATTTTTCCAACAAATTTTTAACCACTGATTTCGTCCATGTGCTTTGAGCGTCTGGTTTCCTTTGCATACTTTAAAAAACTGATTTCATGTGCTTGTTTTGCCTACTAGTTTTGTGTATGTGCTTTTAAACAACTGAGAACATGTACTGTATTCTTGATTGTTGTTGCAAGGTGGTTGTTGCCATCCACTGTAGGCTGTCTTGATCTGATAAAGGCACTAGTAGTAGTGTCAGATCACATGAAATCTTTGTTCGCCTCGCTATAAATCAGACGGGAGAAAAATCTTACCCATTATTTACTCCACCCTCTGCACAATATGTTGTAATGTAATCTGAGGTGCACTGAGGTGTCACGAGATGTTGAGGGCATTTTTTCAAGTAGGTTTTGAACTAGAATAAGGGCATTGGTTGCAGCCACTGCTCACTCAATATATTGTCCAAGGCCATTGTGTAAATTTTGACCGTCCAAATTCTGGTTTAACTTAGCCAAAATTCAACTTTCTGGCTACAATAAAAAGCGATATTTTCTTTGCGAGGACTTTGTCGCTGTCTGTGATCAGTCCTGCTTTTACTGACCCAGAATTACCATCTGCGATGTAGCAGTAATGTGCTTCGCTATTGAATGCTGGGGACCCAAGTTTGATTTCCGAGAAGGGATGAATTTTAATGGAGTATCGCTGTCTTTCTGTTGGGATGTTGTATCCTTGTCTGCCTGAGTTGCCCCTGACAGGCAGGGTTGGAAGCCAGCCTTCTAAATGATCTTAATTGCATTGATGGGAGAGTAAAAACATGTGTGGGTGGTTGGCGGGTGCTGTGGTGTGGTTTGCTCCTTCTTTTCTATCAAACATCTATCGTCCTTATCTTCCTTTCTTTTTTATGTTTGTTACTCTCTTGTAACACCTCTAATCTTCTAGTGCTCATATGACCTTCTGCAGTTGCGAGTGCCGTAAAACCTTCACTAAAACTAAACTAAGAACATGTGCATAAAACATATTTCTTAAAAGACTGATGCAGAATATGTAGCGGTATTGGAATTGAGAGGAATGCTTTTAGTTTCTACAGAATGATGCCATTTGAACTTTCATTATATGTGATGCGACCTGTTGGATTGAAGGGTTTTGATTTCTTGCTAAAACTGGGTGTTTAGAAGTGACTGAGTGCTATTTATAGAACAGTGGCTGCAACTAGTGACTGATCAGTGTTTTTAGTCAAGCTCTATGTACATATGTTTATAAGCTTTTCAAGACTTACTTTCTTTTGCTTTTTACCTGTTTCTTTGCATAATTGGAAGACATATGTAATATATAATGTATTGGAAAAGAAAAACATGTGTACAGTTAGTAATAAAATTATATATAATATCTATATGTGTGCGTGCCTGCCTGATATATAAGGCACCGTAAGACACATTTTGTTCGAACTGAGATACAAGGCAATAAAGGTCAAAAATACACTTTTTAAGAAAATTGAGTTCCTTTAAAAAATGATAGTTTTACCATTTATCTATCAATATTTACAAGGCTTTGTCCATGATTTGCGCAGAAAAATGTAATCTGAAGATGCTTTTGTCCCAAGCCATCTTGCATAATAACAAAGATGTGTTGGAATGTTTGCTGTGAAAGCTAACATCAGCAGAAGGTTTCTACAACTCATTAATAAAAACAAACCCCATCGCATTGCACACCAATGTTGTGAACTTGTGAACTTTTTCGATCTGATAAGTGCGCAAGATTGTAGCAAGACAGTAAAGGATAACAGGCTTTGTGCATTTGTGCCCTATTCCACTGGCATATCAAAAATTAGGTCAGCTAGTGCGCTTTCGTGTGCCGTGCAGTGCGTACGAAATACACTGACTCATTAAATGGAAGCTCTGTGCATACACCTCCTCCCACACTTTGTGAGCAAAGCAAAGTCATTTTGCTTGAGTTTCTAGTTCTATTTGACCGTGAATTTGCATTAAGAGCATTTTAGTAGCTCTTTGAAACTGTTCAATTGTCTTTAACTACTTTTTTAAGTTGTCATTTGAAAAGTAACAGCATGGTCAAGGGTTTTGGAGGCAAACAGTTCGGCTGGCAGATTGATGGCTGTTTATTTGGAGTAGAATTCAATCCAGGTCTAAGAAAAACTTTAATGCCATTTTTCTCAAAATTTTGTTTCCACACCATACCCAACCAAATGAACCAGCTCTCATAAAGTGCTAAAGCTGTCTTAAAAGTTTTAACAGCAAGTTTTTCAGAACGAATTTTGTACCAGAAAATGCAGTAAAATGCACTTCCTTGAAATATGTCGCACAGTACCTGTCACCAGGCACACACACATAATATTGTTGGGTGTCGGGCACGGATAACTCAAACGCATCATGAACACAGTGTGTTTGATTCATCCATAATTTGGGTAAACTGTGCCGTAAACAATTAGAGACATCAGTCGGGGAATGGCCAATTGTACGAGCTGGCCGTGATTTCGAGTTTTCCGTGTTCATGATATTTGTGCCAGACTGTGTACTTGTGCATATCATTGATGTCTCATGCAATCTACATAAGACTTGTATATGGCAATGGCAATGTAGTTTCGTTTAAGTTTTAATAAGTACTGCAAACACCACTTTCAGGGCTTTGGCTGCTAAAATTGCAAATTTATGACATGCTGAAACTTTAGGAAAAAAAAATTGACCATAACATATTGTTGAGAGTAAATAATGTGTATTTGACCACATTTGTATGTTTATTTATTCTACGGCACTTTGAAAATTGAATTTTTTGTTTAATTATGTAATATACTCGAAAAATAAATAAATAGATTCTTTGAGCATGGGGTCATTTTTTTATGCAATATATGCGATTTTGTTAATCTCGCTTTCAAAGTGCCCAATTAAAGTGACCTCTATCAAGTTGTGTTAATGCTTTTTTTTTTTAAAGAAGGCAAAATAAAATTTGTAGTTTCTGGTACCTAGTTATAGCTCAAAGTTAAGTCCGTTTCAGATTTCCCTTCTATGGAAAGACATGTACTTTGGCCAACTGAGAAAGCTGTGGTTTGTCCTTTCAACCGTAGTCTTGAGTTTGACTGATACACCTGTTCAACCTTCCTTCTTTCATTGATGGTGGCGAGAAATATGTGACAATTGTGTGGGGAAGAAAGAGTTTTTGAAGTCATTTTTGTTATTCATTTTTC